CCTGCCGCTCCCCCCTTGGTATTTAAAGATGCCCCTTGATCCTAACGGTTTCTGCACAACTCCCTGCTGGGATCCCTGCCCCAAAACCATCTCCTCCCTCCCCAAGCGCTCTTGATCTCGTTGCATCGCCCCGGCCCCGGCCCTGTCCTCCCCACGCCCCTCCTGCACTAATACCAGGCCGGCACTTTGCTGTTCTGCATGTATCTGTTCTTAACCAGTCCCGCGGCAGTACAATGCGCTCTGGCTGCCAGGATTTCTCCTCGGCTGCTCCTTGGCCTTGGGCTGGAGGGGGAGCCTCCACCACCTGCTCCCCTTTGGCATAGCACCCGGCTTTGGGGGGGCTCAGGTGGCTGGGCAGCGGGGCAGGCAGACTGAGAGCCTTTCCTGGTCCTCCCCCTCCCTGTGCCCCTGCCCCCATGTAGAGGATACAGCAGCTTTCTCTGTTCTTATCTCCGTGCGCTAGCGTGTCTTCTAAAAAAAAAAAAAGGAACAAAAAAAAATAAATAATAATCTGGTGTTTGTATATAGTCCTTTAGAAAGATCTTGTTTTGCTTTTTGTGTTTAATCACTTGACCTATAATAAGAGGAACTGAAAATGCTGTATCAAGGACGTACAAGCTGTGCCTTTCAAATAAAGAAATAAGAAGGTTGGTTAAAACTGTGACTTGTTGCCTGCTTTCTTGCTGCCTTTGGGATGACTTTAAAATACTTCCCTTCCTCTCCTGTCCCCCCGGATAGGGGAAATGGTGGGGGAGAACAGGTAGCTTTGCTGGATAACCTTGGACTCTGCCTCGGTTTCCCCATGTGCTGTCACGGCTCCCAGCAGGCTGTGGGAGGTGTCTGGAAGAGGTGCCCTCCCTCCTCCAGGTGAGCATGTCCCAGACCAATCCCTGCCTTACCTGGTGTGAGGGGGGCCCTCTCTCTGGAGGTTTCTCTGTGAGTCAGGAGGAGGGTGGGGGTTAACGTTGAGACTTCTGGTTCTGGCTTCTCTCCTGCTCTTGTCTCCACAGCTGCTGGCAGAACGAGGCCCGTCTTTGCTGCCTGCATCCTGCTCTGGGACGCGATTCCTCCAACAGGCGGCCTTGCGAAGCCGCATGCCCATGTCGGAGCTTTGGCTGGAGTCTGCTGGAGCCAGGGCAAGGAGGACACCCGAGCAAAGCCAAAACAAACTGCAGAGCTAGACAAAAGCGGGCAGTAGCAAAAGGGACCTGGGAGCTCTCCGTCTGAAAAGCAAGGAGGGCTGGAGTGAAGTGCCGATAGCGGCTCTCCGCTGGAGCAGGAGCGGCATGGTTTGGTAACGCATGGGAATGGTCCCTGTGGGCTGCCGCAAGTTTGCTCTGCACGTGCATAATTCATTTTTCCTGTGGGTGCAGAGGATAAGCTGCTTCTGTGGCCCCTCTGAAAAATCTGGCCTGTGTTGCCCTGGGGCTGAAATTGCTGTAATGGAATTGACTCTCAATAATTAGAGCTGTCCTCTGGCTTCAGAGCCTGCTCTGCCCTGATAACATCTTCCCCTCTGTATCTCCCAGGCCAGCTGGAGTGGGAAAATTTCCTGGGAAGGAAGCTGTGGGGGGGTGTCTCGATGCCCCTGGCTGTCCACCGAGGTTGGAGGACTGTGGTGGTGCAGATGGGGGCCCTGGTGAAAGCCAGAAGTGGAGCAGCGGCCACTGTGCCTCTGTCCTGCTGGCGCTGGGCAAAAATCAGGCCAAATGCCCGAGGGTGGGATTTGATGGGATTTGCTGAACAGGCTCAGGCCTGAGACCAGGTCTGGCTCCAGAGTGGTGGTGCTTCGGGCTGGGGCTATGTCTGCTGCAGCGGGTCCAGGGTGGGAGAGGCTTGAGGAAAGGTGCACAGTGCTGCATGAATGCCTGCCGGGGCTGCAGCTCTGCCTGGCCCCTTCCCCGGCGCTGCTTCTGATGGGCTTCTTCTGGTGCGGACCAGTCTGCTGTAAAGAGGGAGTGGGGGGACTGTTATGCAGCTCGGTCCTGTGTCCCACTGTCCCTGGGTGCGCAGGCCAGGCCTGGCACAGCTGTGCTGCAGCCTGAGATGGGTTACAGAGCCTGTGGGCAGCTTGGGGGCTTGAGAATGTTCCTGTTATCTGCCTGTGATGCCTTGCCAGCATGAACCGGGGGATGGCTGTTCCCAGCACAGGCTTGCAAGGGACCAGGCAGGTCTGCGGAGGACCATGGGCTCCGGTGGTGGTCTTTGAACTCCGGCTGCTGGCTGGGACTCTGCAGGGCTGCCTGGGAGTCTCAGCCCTGTCCCCTGCCAAGCCAGGCACCCTGTGCAGGGCCCGATGCTCCCGATGCAGCCATCGCCACTGGCTGCTTGGCTGCCGCTGGGCAGATCCAGAGCGGAGAGCCCATGGCCAAAGCAGAGCTGCTGCTGCATGGCAGGAGCTGGCCTGACCTTAGCGCTCTTAGGGGGCCAGAGCACTGGGCAGACAGGTCCAATGCCTGTCCCCCCCCATGCTGCGCAGGAGCTCCTGGTCAGGATCTGGCTGAAACACTACCGATAGCTGCGGTCTGACCCCATGGTCTTGCAGCTGCTCCGAGGGCCTCACTGATGCTGAGCGAGCAGATTTCTAATGTGAAAGGCCAACACAGCTTTGGGCCAGGGGCTGCTATGATGTGACAGTTGCTAAAACCATCTCTACTGTAAGTGCTGCTGAAAACCCCGCTGGGAGTGTGCTGGCTGTGGGGAGGGCTGGAGCTTTTCAAGCGCTTTCACCTCCAGGTCACTGGTTCAAACTCAGCCTGGGGGTAGGGAGCACCGTAAGTGGATGTTATTCTTGATGGATGTGCAAGGGAGGAGGATTTAGGAGAAATTGGTCTGGGGTGTTTTCAGGCTGGCAATTTTCAGAGGAACAGACATCCCTGTTGTTAGAGCTAATTAGCAGCCTCGGTTCAGTGGGCAAGGGGTCGAACAAACCACGAGGCTGCTGGCTGAGCATCCTCGGCTGCCAGCAAGCTGGGGCCGGGGAGCCGCTCCTGACTGAGCTGTGGATATCTCCTTGCTCCCTGTGGGAGACTAACCCACTGCAAAGCATAAAGACAGAGCTTTTGGGCTCTCCAGTTCCCCTGTACCTCCCAGCAGATGCTGAGCTGAACCTCGTGCTCTGCTCCTGCTTCCCCCAGTCACCCATTCCTGAAGTGTGCTGTCTTTGCACCCAAAGCGTTTCTCTGGGGGGTGGGAGGCACCCTGATATCCTGTCCCACGGACAAGTGGTGCTGCAGTTCCCCATGCTTCCAGCCTGGCTCTGTTTGCAATTGCCAGATTTGCTTCTGGATCTCCTAAGGGAGTCATTTCATAGGGCACCTTACCAGATTTGGGCTCAAATCTAACTGCATACCAAAATCTGCAAATTTAACCTATACCAGCAGCAGAAAAAGGGTTAAAATCATCTCCCTCATGACTCTCCCTGTAGCTGCAGACTTGAGGAAACAGCTTCTCTCCTTCCAAACAGGCTGCTCTGCCTTGTAACCTCTCTCATGATTGGAGCCGTGAGCCCCTCTCCTGCCCTGGCAGAAGAGGCTCAATGCTCTGAGAAGCGGGCGATGTGTGGGGCCGCCAGAGCTCTGCTGATCAGGGATGGTTTAAGACTGGCTCCTGGCAGAGAAACCCCTTCTCTGTGTGCACAAGAGGTGGTGATATAAGAGTGGGAGAGGGACACAGGCAGATGGGCTGAGAACCAGCTCTGCTGGCACCGGGATATTTGGAAAAGCTCAGCAAAGCCCTGGCTTATTAAGGGGGGATAGAGAGCAACCTAGTGACAGCCACTGTCCAAAGAGCTTTTGGCTGTGGTGGATGGAGAGCCGGCCAAGTCCGGAGGGCAGGGGCAGGACCCCGTCTGTCAGCACCCCGTGCCCTGACCACAGAGCAGCACAGCATTTAGCCTAGGTTTGACATCGATTCCTGCTTGTAGCTGCCAGGGGCTTGGCAAAACTCTGCTGTCTCACCTCTCTTCCCCTTCTACCTGCCTGTCACTGGGGATCATAAAACGGCATCTTTCGTCCTCGATGAGGTGAGCGGGTGCCAGTTTTTCACTGGCTGAAGGAGGTTTCCACACCTGTTTGACTTTCGGTCCATCCCCTTCAGCTTTTTCCCCATAGGTCAGATCCCTGTTGCCTCTGTGGCAGCAGCGGGAATCGCCTCCACCACATCCCCCTCCCACTCCCACCCTCCTCATTTTTCAGCGCAGCTTTTCTTGAAACAATGGCACAGTCTGCAAGCCAGGAATGCTTTGCAGCACAGTGGAGCAGGGCCTCCTTCCCAATTCATCACTAATGCAGGAACGCCAAGCCCTTCCTGGCTGCAGTGAGCATGAGATAAAAGCTAAAAGAGGCATCAATAATTAAAAACCACTCAAAGCCGGTAAGTGCAAACAGGAGCCCACATACAGATCGAAGGCAGTGCCAGAGACGAGAATCTGTCAGCTGCTGGGTTGCTCTAAGGGCTCCCACATCTCTCTTGCGGGCGTCCCCCCCCCAAGTCCACGGCCAGGTGTCCCTGGCACAGTGGGAGCACAGCAGTGCAGGGGCTGCAGGCAGGAGTGCATCAGCTCTGCAACGTGCCAGGGGGCCCTGCCCAGGCATGGCAGGAGAGACCTCCCCCCAGCTCCCACATGTGGTTTGCCTTGCAGATGCTCTGGGGACATGTGGCTTTAAAGAGCAGGTAACAGCACTGGGGTCCCGGGGTTGCAGACCTGTGGTTTGGTCCCAGGAGTGTGGCTGGAGAACCTTGATTTCTAGTACAGCTTTGGCTCAGCTCTTGCGGACTTGCTGCCAGTCCCTTCCCCCAGTTTCCCTTCTCATCCTGTGTTCATTCCAGGACAGACTCCAGCCAGGATAAGGCCCCTGTTTGTGCCAGCTGCTGGTATAAATGCCCAGGGAAATTCACGTTGTCTGAGGGTGCCAGGAACTTGGCTCCGCTGAGTTCAAGGCTCCTCATTCAAGTATGCAAGTGAGAAGCTGAAAATGGGATGGTTTGGAAACATCATGGTCATCTTTGCTCCCTGCTTCCACAGGCCAGGCAAACTGGTTGATTGAGTCCTGGTAGGGAAAATCTGAATCTTCTAAACCTGGTGACCCCGGTTCTGCCCCCCCTGCCCCATAATGGCCCTACTGACCCAAAAACCCTCTGTGCAAACCCACCACCACCTGGCTGCCAAAAAGCCCACCCAGGGCTGAGCTTGCCCATGTGCTTAAACACATGGGCCCTGAATCCGCATGCACCTGAAGAGGCAGGTGCAGGGAAGCAGTCTGCAAAGAATGGGGCATCCCCAGCTGCTGAGAGGAGACTGAGGCAGTGCTGGGTCCCAGCCGTGCCCCCATCTCCCTTCCAATCCCTGTCAGTCTCCTGCCAGGCCAGCAAATGCACCTGCAGAACTGGACAGACAGCAAGTTTGCACTATGAGAGCAGCCCCCTTGGATGTGAGATGGTTGTACGTGGCTCTTCACCACTGACCTGTCCACTGCCTGCGTTTGGAAGGGATGGAGCAAAGCAGAGCTGAGCAGAGCAGGTGGGAGAAGGGGCACCCGGGAGGGTTTCAGACCGGGGGCTGGAGGAGAAACTGTGTGTGCAGGCTTCAGCTGCCCCAAGAGCAGCAAGCCCTGGTCACAGGCATCTCTGAGAAACGCGATGGTCTCTGCCCTTGACTGTCTCTCTGGAGATGTGCTGGGTATGGGAGGCTGTGCAAAGGAGGGGTGTGGGGAGAGAAATGACTTGACCCACAGCACAGAGCCAGGGCTGCCCTTCCTGGCGAGGGCAGGAGGCTGCGTGTTTCTGTGCCCCAGGCTGGAGTCTGAGGAGGGAGCTGAAAGGTAAAATCATCGAGGTAATTCCAGAAGCAGCAGCCTGTTTTGCTTGGATCTGGGTTCAAACGGCAAACTGCACTCCCGAGTGTCCCAAAGCCCAGGCTTGTTTGGTTTCTCTGCTGGTTATAAACAGAACTGCTGTTTACAGCACTCGCCTCTTGATCCTGGCCTGGATTTCAAACACCCTTATCCTTTGGGGCTCTTCCAAGCACTGCCGCTACCAGGCACAAGTGCGTGGCTGCTGCAGGAAGTGGCTGGGCCCCCGGCTGAGCCTGGCTTTGCTGGCATCCTCTGCCCTGCGCCTCACATCCCTGCGCCCGGAGGGAGGAGTAGGACCAGCTCCCTTTGCTGCTGCATCCAGAGGCCTGTGGGTGCAAAGGGTTAACTGCAGTGGTTTTTCTCCCCAGTCCAAGCACATGCTGAAGCAAATTAATCTCTGGGTTACAGGCTGTCCTGCTCCAGGGCCCACGTCAATCATTAATGGAGGGTGATGAAGACGTGTGTGACATCCATCATTCTAGAGCTGCCTGTTCCAGGTTTACCTGTGTCACTCTCTAAGACAGAGGAGCAGAGAAACTGCCTAAGGAAAACCAGCATTTTTTGGTAAGGAGTTTTGAAAAATGCTGCAAAACATCTTCTCAGTCTCTCCTTCCCTGGAAACATGATCTGAAACGTTTCCAGCTTTTGAAAAAACACTTTCCTTAAATAAAAAAAACCCTCCCCCAATGAGGCAAACAAAACAAACCAAAAATAAATTCTCTAAAACTTCATATTTGGATTAAAATATGTATATTCATATGTGCAGAAATATGATATACACACACATATACATGAAAGGAAGGTTTTTCAAGGGCTTTGAGGCTGAGGTGGCGGGCTAGTGGCCGTCCCTGCCTGCAGTGCTGGATCTGCCTGGTGAACATCTGTGGCCGGGGAAGGCAAAGAGGCAGACGCAGAGGCTGGGGCTGGACAGGGGCCGGCTGCTTGCTTGGGGACCGTTTGGGGCTGGGGGGGGCTGGGGTCCGCTGCCATGGGAAGGCCCCCAGTACCTGCTGGGGCACTGCGGGCAGGGGGCAGTGGCAGCAGGCAGCCCTGGGATGGCGTGGGGCGGGGATAGGAAGGAGAGCCTCTGGTGCCCACCACCTTGCCCCTGCCCTAGCCGCTGCCAGCATGCAGCAAGTAAATAACACAATTAATAAAAGATTAGGATGAAATGCGAGGCATTAAATATTTAACCTTGTGCCTGCCTGTGCAGTGCCCAGGTACAGCTGGTTCCTGCAATATTTAAGGGCTGTTCCTCACTCTCCCTTTACCACCCCCAAATATGGCGACTTTACGGCTGGCTGCAGCTGGAGGGCCGTGGGGGATGAGGAAGGATCATGGGGGACAGGGAAGGGCCCCTCGGTGGGGCAGGAGGGGCTCTCGGGGCACCGTGCTTGGCGCTGGGGCGGGCCGGGAGAGCTGCCCCGCTGGGCTTGGG